TTGTGGACAGAGAATGGGTCAGGAAAGGGAGCTGTGAGGGAGGTGGAGGAACAAATTGACAGGAGCACATCTGGTTTCCAATCGTACGGTTCCCACTGTTCTGCCGCGCTCTGCTGGCGTTGACATTCCGCCGAGCGAGAGAAGGTTCCAGCGCGAATGTGGGATACGTGACGTGGCAGAGCTGTCTATTTGGAGTGGTGTTGACCAGGAAAAGACGTTGACTCATAAGGACCTCGGGATGAGGACCCGACGGACATCAAGGAATCACCACGAAGCCCCTTCAGATAGAAGCGATAGAGACGCTGTCGATACAAGTTTTATGAATTGAAGATGAGGCATTCGCCACCATCTTATATTATTCAGGTTTAAGGTTATATGAAAATGGGGATACGCAATCACCAGCAGCAGAGGAACGAAGACCATGTACGCAACCATAATCCCTGCAATGCCTGCGTTTCTCGGATTTCTTGCGTATCCGCACTTGGATTACACTGGAAATAGAAAACCAGAGAGGCAAAGGCGGTGCAATCAGGGAAAACTAAGATGTGGGTGGGTGGTGAACGATGTGACATGAATTGGAAGTGATCGAGAGTATGGAAACCCGGTATGCACAATCGAGAAAAAATTCAAGCAAGGAATCATAGGTGGCATGAAGATTTTCATCAACGTTTGGATACATGGAAAAGCAGCAGCGCGCTAAGGCGCCTCCTGCGAAAGATAACGTAGTGTTAGAAGGGTTGCAAGAAGCTCTGAAGTCCTTGCACGGGTCAGAGAGTGGAGAATCCATATTTTGATGGACCACACAATCCCCCCCGTTTGCCAGACACATAAAGTTATTCCGGACAATGTTCCTAGCAGGCGATGGTGGAAGAGTGCATGTGCGATTGGGTGCAAGGATAGCAATTCAGTCCGTTAACCAACTGGGATAAAATGACATGTTTTCTTGGTGGGTCAACGCACCCATATCCCTCAAGGACAGGCCCTCAGATTGGTTTGGGGGTACACTGAGGCCTCAGGGCAGTTTTTAGGAAATCAGAATCTGCCCTGAATTGTCAGGGCTGCACAGGGTGAGGTATCCTGAAATGCCAGTGCTACATTTGAGAGTATCCTGGCAGCTCAGTGCTACATTTCGTACAATCCTGTATATTTCGCGCGTGTTATGTTAGCGGGGATCGAAATGCTCTCCACATTCGAAGTGTGTAATTCTGGGGTGCAGCTGCAAGTGGCTGGCAGTGCAAGTCGCTGGCAGCTGCATGGTGCGAAAGTGTTACAGCACAGTACAAGGAGATGGCGAAGGTGGCGGTGAACATCGTGGGCCAAATTGGATGGAAAAGCTGGCGCAAAACAATATTGTTATAGATTTTGTTGTTCGGCGAGTCGAACATGAAGTGTTGTAGTGGGTAAAGCGAAAGTTTGCTACGCAGTAGGTTGCCTGCTCGATTCCAACTGGCTCCATCATCCGAAGCGTTCGCCTTGTACACTTTTGGCCCCGAAACCCAGGAGATTTTTCGTACAGTACATCTCGCTTCAGGGCGAGATTCGACATTATCCTGAGTCGTCAGGGCTGAACCTACAGCGTTATCCTGAGTTTCAGTACGCAAAATAACCATTATACTGATTTTACAGGACAAGTAATTCCCTTATGCTGTTTTTTCAGGAGAAGCACACGACACCTATCCTGAATTCGGGAGAATCAGGATAAATTATCCTGATAACATAGGCCCTGCTCAAGGACGACAACTGTAGCCCTTGGAAATCCACTTTGAGGCATTTCAGTATCCACTTCCAACACGGGGAGGGGGGGAGGGATAGATGGAGGGAGGGCAGAATCATTGAGAAAAAGACAGCAGCCTTGGTTAGATGCTCTCAAGATTGCGGCCAGCGTATTGCAGACCACTTTGATTATTTATGCCATAGCAGGGTTCTCCATATGGCACGCATAAGTCAGAACGATGATCTTCCCCACGTCACTCTCGTTCCCTACTCCCTCTCTCTCTCCCCTTCCATCTCTCCCCCTCTGCCCCTCTGTCTCGCCCCCTCTCCACACATTTCAATGTAGCTCTTACATGGAAAACATCCTCCCCAAGGAGGCAAGAAGGGTGTCGTACAGCCGGTTGCCTTTAGTTCGCTGGGAGTGAATGAAGGGCGGCAGATGGGCATGGGGCATGGAGCATGGGGCATGTGGCATGGAAAACCCAGGAGAGATGGTTTGGACGCTTTCAAGGAGAATAAACTGTCAAACATATATGCTTAGGTTATTTATCTAGGCTGTAGTGGGGTAGCCACTATGGGGTACAACCTCTTGTTCCTATTTTGTACCCAACTCTCTCGATAGTCATTCATTCACTACTCCTACTATCTTGACATAAACATGAAGGGACGGTGGAAGGGCAGGATATCTGCAAGAATCAGATGTTCCATTTGAAAAGGATTGGAATCAAGGAAGCAGTGGACACTGTTCTGCCGCGCTTTGTTGGACCACGCTGACATTGCGCCGGTACAGGAAAGTTCTGAAGCTAGCAGGAATGCAAGTGGCATGACGTGGCACAGTTGACGGTTTCGAGTGGTGTTGACCAGGATTAGACGTTGACTTGAATGGGCCTTGGGATGACAAAACAATTTGGATGTCGGAACCTCGAAACAGATTTCGTTTTTGGGCACGTTGTAAAAAAAGAGTGACTCCTGTGCACCACCCAGCCCGGGCCGAGAGCAATAGCCATTTGCAGGGTAAAGGCCAGGTAAAATCGGCGGATCACTTTACTAAGCTGAGTGAAAATTAACGTACTCTCTGAAGCTGAGGATTTTAGCAACTTAGCCAAAATCTTGGCCTGTCATGGACTTAGCCCCTTCTGTTGCCAAAACTAGTGCGGCGTCGTTCTTCTCTCAACCAGAGAAAAACACGAACTAACTTCAACTCTGCATTAAGGTGTGTGGCAGAGTTCATAGACAATACATCTACAATACTCGGGCCGCGCCGGAAACGCACAGACCCTGCCCCAGCCGTGCAAAAAAAAAAAAACACCTCCCTGAGATGGTCCGAGTTCTAATCCTCTTATCCTGCTATTTGCAGAGTGGGCTCCAAAATCTGCCCGGATTTGCAGAATAGACCGGGTAAAAAACCCTGCAAAGATTTGCCCTGCTCGGGATTTGCTGTGGAGACCAGTTGTCCCCAACATGAACTTACGCTTCAAGAAGGTACAAGCATAAAGACTCAAGAAGATAACACACTACAAAACATGACCACGACTTGCACCCGCAACCATACTCGAAGCACTACTATTCAACTGTACACACCACAAAGTAGACATAACATATTTACATTTTAAACTATAAGGCCTTCAGCATTGTACTCGCTTCCGGTAAAAACTATTTGCAACTGGACAACCCGTCGCTAGAGTTCATCCCTTGGGCCCGAGCAAGCTCCTTGGCGAAGTCAATCTCTGCAGATGAAGACTCAAGCTCGCGATCTATCTTTTCCGCCATCCGGTTAGACTCGGCCCCAAGGAACTCATCCTTCATCTCCACCAACTCTGTCAGTATACGGTTCATAGATGGTCGAGAAGCAGTGGGCATGATGGTGCAACTGATAGAAAGCTTGGCCATGCGAAGTACCAAATCATCTGGTGCTTGGAGAAGGGGATCATTGAAGGCCGAGACGTCACCCGCCGCCACCAGAGGAGCCACCTGGTGAATTAAGGATGGGAAGGAGGATGTGTCAACTGGTGGTTGGAACTTGAAAGCAATAAGCTTCCCTACTTCACTTACAACCACTGTCAAGAGTTGGTATTTCTGTGCGTGGGTTGAAAATAGCGCAATAGAGTTTTCTAGATTGTTTCCTGAATGCAGGTCATTACCTTTTTGGTGATGGCAGAATCATACGAGGACTAAGAGCTCACCCAGGTTTTCAGGTTGTGCTGGTCTGAGTCCACCATGTAGACGGCTTTGCGGGCTGTTAGGACGGTCAGCATCACGACTCCAAAGCCGCGGGTTTAACAATGGCACAAATGAGGACGTGCAAAGCCATGCATGATTTGGAGGGATGATAGTGATGCACAGGGCTGAAGATCATGATCAAAGGAATAGACATGAGAGGCGAGATACAGACAAATGTGCAACTGTACTTTTCTGTGACATTATGTAATCTGGCTGTGTGTGCAGTTGTTATTCATGCACATCAAGAAAACTAGGAAAGGTGACCAGAAACATCCACTCATCACCACCACTCAACCTCACCTTACGCATCTTACAAACCAGTGGATATCAGCAGTTCCCGCGCACATCACCCATGCCTGTGCACATCACCCATACCTGTGCACATCACCCATACCTGTGCACATCACCCATACCTGTGCACATCACCCATACCTGTGCACATCACCCATACCTGTGCACATCAGCCATGGGGGTGGCCTTCTGTGACTTGTAGTAAGCCGGGTCTACATAGCCCGGTGTGCCCATCACCCGCGTCGCAATCACCGACGTGCCCTCGCCATGCCTCACCAGCCCAAAGTCCGCAATCCTGGCCTGTGCTTGGATGGATTTACGCACAATAGCAACACAGAGCAGGCACAAGGAAAAGGACAACAGAATCACAGCATGCTGTAGGCTCTGCTTGTTTCCCTGAAAGAAATAAGAAAAAGAAGGGTTGGTATGGCACTCCTCGTGCACCTGCATCTTGTTGTCAAGAAGCACATTGGCAGGCTTGATGTCACGGTGCACGATGCCAAAGCTGTGCAGATACTGCAGCCCCTGAGCCATGCCGATCATCACCTCCAGGCGCTGCCGGATCGTCAGCTGCTTGGGGGCGTCTGATGCATGGCAAAAAGGGGAAACACAAGAATCCCAAACCTTCAGTTGTTGAGACCGGAAACGGAAGCACAGAGGGTCAAGTGTGCATGAGAAAGAGTTGGGTCAAAGGCAACAAAGCTAAGAGGAATAGATTCGATTAAAGAACAGTAGAGTAAATTACAGTAAAGTGGAAAATAGTGGAAAAAGAGAGACTAGATTAGAGTGGTAAAGTGTGGAAAAGAGTGGAGTTTCTTACGGGGTCCAATCCAGCGTTCGAGGTCGCCATTGACCATGAACTCATAGATGACAATCTGCTCGATGCGCTCCGTGGTGTGATTCATGTCGAAGCAGTACCCCAGCAGCCGCACCAGGTTCGGGTGATTCTTGGTCGCCATCTCGTTCACCTGCCATGCGCTCAAGCACATGCAAAGGGAGCAACACACTTCCCTCTTGGTATTTATGTACGTGTCATTCATGGCCGTGGTCCCATGTATGCGATAACGGAATCTAGAACCCAAGATGTACGCATGCGTGCAAGGCGTAAATCAAAGGACATTACAATACGTGCCGAACATTTCCGTACTCTCTTTGGATGGGATTGGAGTATTGCATTTGCTTTCTCACCTCGCGCTTGAAATCATTCGTAAGTATCTTGGCGCGTTTGACGGCCCAGATCTCATGGGGAGCGGTGGGGTTGGCGCCCTTGTACACATCCCCGAAGCTGCCGCTGCCAATGCGATTCGCCTCCGCCCACTCACCCGTCGCTGCCGCCACCTCCGCCAGCGAGTACTGCCGGCACACCGCTGGATGTGCCTCCGCCACCGCTGCTGTTGCTTCTTCTTGCCTAACGGCTGCTGCTGCCACTGCAGCAGCCGCCATTTCTTCAGCTGTCCCAGCCTCCCCTGTCTCTGTGTCCAGGTCACCATCCTGCTTTTCCTGCTTCCACGTCTTGCTCGTCCTTGCCCACATGTTCTTTCTTCTCTGCCTTCGTCTTTCTGGTGCAGTAGACCCAGACCGCCAGCAGAAGGAGGAGGAAAATGAGTGCGAACACGCCACCCACGACAATGCTAGCAGTTTCGCCTGACACTGCAAGTGATGGCATGATGGGTGGTGGATGAAAGGGAGAGGGGCAAATTGTTGTTTGAGTGGTCACAGGCAGGCAGCGGCAGCAGCAACAGACGCTGTGGTAGACAGAATATACAGGTACACGTGGTGGAAGTGGTGTGTCTGTTGGAGATTACGTGTGTTGGAAGCAAGGTGGTGGTGGGGCGTTTGTATGCCCCCAACCCACCGAATGTGTGACTTGTGCTCACCTTCGAGTGAGTTGCAGGTTTGCGTGGGGTTGAGGATTGACTTCGGAAGACCCATTCGATTCGGTGCCACATGGCAGCACCAGGAACATTCGAGACCCAAGGAGAATTCGGATCGGTGAAATTCGAGAGTCGAATTTCACCCTTTCGATGTTACTCGAACATTCGCGAGTGTAGCAGTTCGAGGTTACTTGTGCGATTCGATCTTGTTTGCATGCTATAAATCTGTTTTCTTTGTATTGCATGCCATCATAGTGAAACTCAGAGTTCTTTGTGTCAGAACATTATATAGCTTATGCTGTTGTGTAGGCTATAGTGGGGTATCCCATAAGGGGTACAACCCAATTAGGGTTTCCTATTTGTACTCACTTCATTTCATAGTTCACTCATTCTCGTTCTTCATTTTCACATGGAATCAGAGCAGGTCCCCTCCTAGGGACTGCTTCTAGGGCCCACCGAAGCGCGCCCCGAGGCGCGTTTTCCTTTTTTTTTAGCGACCCTCCGTGTCGCCCCTTGCGGCCCCGCCGCCCTCCCTTCGCGGCCCCGCCACCCTACTAACGCGGCCCCGCCGCCCTTCCTTCGCGGCCCCGCCGCCCTGCTCGCGCGGCCCAGCCGCCCTCTGCTTCGCGGCCCCGCTGCCCTGCTCACGCGGCCCCGCCGCCCTCTGCTACGCGGCCCCGCCGCCCTGCTACAGCGGCCCCGCCGCCCTCACGTCGCGGCCCGCCCGCCCTCTGCTTCGCGGCCCCGCCGCCCTGCTCACGCGGCCCCGCCGCCCTGCTCACGCGGCCCCGCCGCTCTCTGCTAAGCGGCCCCGCCGCCCCACTACAGCGGCCCCGCCGCCCTCACGTCGCGGCCCGCCCGCCACCCTACCTGCGGCCCGCCCGCCGCCCTACCTGCGGCCCGCCCGCCACCCTACCTGCGGCCCGCCCGCCGCCCTACCTGCGGCCCGCCCGCCGCCCTACCTGCGGCCCGCCCGCCGCCCTACTTGCGGCCCTACCGCCGCCCTCCCTGCGGCCCGCCCGCCGCCCTACTTGCGGCCCTACCGCCGCCCTACCTGCGGCCCGCCCGCCGCCCTCCTTGCGGCCCTACCGCCGCCCAACCTGCGGCCCTACCGCCGCCCTACCTGCGGGAGCCGCCTAGCAGCAGAACCGCCGGGAGCCAAGCCGCCCTGCCGCCGAGCCGCCCGGGAGCCGAGCCGCCCTGCAGCCGAGCCGCCCGGGAGCCGAGCCGCCCTGCCGCCGAGCCGCCCGGGAGCCGAGCCGCACTGCCGCCGAGCCGCCCAACAGCCGAGCCGCCCAGCAGCCGAGCCGCCCTGCCGCCGAGCCGCTGAGCAGCCGAGCCGCCCTACTGCCGAGCCGCCCGACCTGCCCTGTCCGGTGAGCACAGCCCCACTGTCACTGCGTGCCCTTCCCCTACTGCTTGCACTGCTCGTCTGTCGTCGTCATGGCTACCCCTAGTGTCCTCGCTTTTGACGCTGAGGGTCGAGCCATTGACTTTGAGGTCTGGGTCGACGACCTGCAGCTGTTCTTACAGTGCGATAGGGCGGACGGTCTTTCCCTCTTTGACCTCACCTCTGGCGCCTCTCCTGCCCCTGCTACTGATGCTGACCCCACTGTTCGCTCTCAGTGGGCCACCCGCGATGCTGCTGCACGTCTTGCTGTGCGTCGCCACCTGCCTACCACTGAGCGCGCGCACTTTAGTCAGTACAAGAGTGCTCAGACCTTGTACGACGCTGTAGTTGCGCGCTACTCTTCCCCTGCCACTGCTGCCCTGAGCCGCCTCATGCTACCGTACCTCTTTCCTGACCTTACTGCCTTTCCCACTGTCGCTGACCTCATTACGCACCTCCGCACTAGTGACACTCGCTACCGCGCCGCCCTTCCTGCTGAGTTCTGCGCCAAGAACCCCCCCCCCATGTACATCACTCTCTATTACATAGTCACACGCCTCCCTGACTCCCTTCGCGTAGTCAGGGACCACTACCTCTCGGTCTGTCCCACCACTCTCACTGTCGACCTCCTCGAGAAGTCCCTCCTGGCGGCGGAGAAGAGCATCGTCGCTGTAGGAGCCTCTCGTGGTGACCCTCGCACCCCCATCTTTGAGGGGTGTTCTCCTTCCCCCCTGCTGCCCTCTGTTGCCTCTGCTGCTGCTGCCGACCTGCTTGGTCTTGAGTCGGTCTGAGCGGCGTCTGCCCCTAGCGGGAGACGCCGCCCTGGCAGGGGCAAGGGGGGCAAGGGCGCGGGTGGAGCTGGCGGGGGCGGTGGAGGAGGCGGTGGAGGCGGAGGAGGGAGTGGGGGTGGCGGTGGGAGTGGTGGCGGGGGCGGTGGTGGCGGTGGCAGCAGCGGAGGAGGAGGCGGTGGTGGCGGCAGCGGTGGGAGCGGAGGCAGCGGTGGTGGTGGAGGTGGAGGCAGCGGTGGCGGAGGGGGTGGAGCTGGTCGGGGTGGTGCCCCGCTGCGTAGCGGCCCTGGTGGTGGCCAGCGTCAGCAGCAGCAGCAGCAGCAGCAGCGTTCGCGGGACATCCACCCGCCCCAGCAGCTCCGTGAGTGGTACACGCAGCGTCAGCGGGGTGGGGGTTTTGGTCCGTGCACCTACGTCCTTCGTTCCGGTGACCGAGCGGGTGAGCAGTGTGGGGGTGCGCACCCCACTCAGCGCTGCTTTGGCCGCCTGACGGACGCTTGGCGTCAGCAGTTCCCCGAGGCCAGTGAGATTCCCCGTTGGGGAGAGCTGTCTAGGGCTGGCGTAGCTGTCTTTGATCTTGACTTTGATGCTATCCTTGCTGCCATGTATGCTGTGACTATTAGTGAGGAGGGTGACTGTTACCAGTGTTTCCCGCCCGACCCGGGCATTGGTACTGCTGCGCCAGGTACTTCTGCGGCTGCTGCTCTAGGTGCCAGTGCGTCTGCACTCTCAGGTACTGGTGAGGCTGCGCTCTCAGGTACTGCGTCGGCTTCGGCCTCCCTCACCTTCACACTTGACTCAGGGGCTTCTCGCTCCTTCTTTCGAGACCGCACCACACTCACGCCGCTTGGCCGGCCGGTTGCAGTCTCCCTGGCTGACCCCTCTGGGGGTCCTGTCCTCTCTCACTTCTCCACTGTCCTCCCGTGTCCGGCTGCCCCCTCGGGCACCTTGTCTGGTCTGTACCTCCCCTCGTTCTCGACGAACTTGGTGAGTGGTGCTGACCTGCAGGATGCGGGGGTTCACCAGTTTACTCCTGCGAGTCAGCGGGTGACCCACTGCTCGGATGCCCGCACAGGCCGACACCTGGCCACGTTCTCGCGTCGGCCAGGGTCGAGTCTCTACACACTGACCACTGCGTCTCCTCCTGTCCCTGCGTCTGGCCAGGTAGCTGCGTCGGGTCAGGTGTTTGCTGCTGCGTCCAGGTCTGGTCCTGAGTCTGCCCCCTGCTCGTGTCGCCGCCTGTCTCACGAGACTCTCCTGTGGCACCACCGTCTTGGCCACCCCTCCTTGCTTCGTCTTCGGGGCATGGCTTCCCGTGTCCTTGTCTCTGGTCTTCCCCGGTCTCTCCCTCCCCTTCCTTCGGGACCCGGACCTTCTTGTGTCCCCTGTGTCGAGGGGCGGCTCCGGGCTGCCCCTCACTCCTCCCAGTTTCCCCCGACAGAGGCTCCTCTGCAGACGCTTCACATGGACGTGTGGGGCCCCGCCCGCGTCCGTGGGCAGGGTCACGAGCGCTACTTCCTGCTGGTGGTTGACGACTACTCGCGTTACACCACAGTCTTCCCCTTGCGCAGCAAGGGTGATGTCACTGAGGTGTTGATCGACTGGATCCGCGCAGCTCGTCTCCAGCTCAGGAGGAGCTTCGGCTCGGACTTTCCTGTTCTGCGTCTGCACTCTGACCGAGGTGGAGAGTTCTCCTCTGGCCTTCTGCGAGCCTACTGTCGTGCACGAGGCATCCGCCAGACCTTTACGCTTCCGGACTCTCCACAGCAAAATGGGATTGCTGAGCGCCGCATTGGCATGGTCATGGACGTCGCTCGTACGTCCATGATGCATGCGGCTGCCCCCCATTTTCTGTGGCCGTTTGCGGTTCGGTACGCGGCGCATCAGATCAACCTTCACCCCAGGGTCTCCCGGCCGGAGACCTCTCCAGCTCTGCTGTGGACGGGGAAGGTCGGCGATGCGTCTGCGTTCCGTGTCTGGGGATCTCGGGCGTTTGTCCGTGACTTGTCTGCGGACAAGCTGTCCCCTCGTGCTGCTCCCTGTGTCTTCCTCGGCTTCCCCCCTGACGCTCCAGGGTGGCAGTTCTACCACCCCTCCTCTCGTCGTGTTCTGTCCTCCCAGGACGTCACGTTCGACGAGTCAGTCCCCTTCTACCGCCTCTTCCCCTACCGCACTCCTTCCCTCCCCCCGCCACCGCACTTCCTTGTGCCAGGTCCCCCCCCGGTAGACCCCCTTCCCCCTCAGGGTCCTGCCCCTTCAGGTGTGTCCCAGGTAGACGCAGTCGAGCCGGTCGAGGTTGCTGGTGACTCTGGTCCTGCTGCGGGTGCTGAGCCTGGGGGTGCTGAGTCTGGGGGTGCTGAGCCTGGGGGTACTGCGACTGGGGGTGCTGAGCCTGGGGGTGCGGAGTCTGGGAGTGCTGAGCCTGGGGGTGCTGCGACTGGGGGTGCTGAGCCTGGGGGTGCGGAGTCTGGGGGTGCTGAG